AAAAAAAAAAGACTGTACCCTTTTATGTAATGATGTTTACTTTGAATTTATATTAGTTCACACAAACACTCCATCCATGCTTTTGTTCCGGCCCTCCGGTCCAGTTTAAGAACCCATTGTGGCCCTCGAGTCAAAAAGTTTGCCCACCCCTGGTAGTGGGAGAAATCACCAAGTCCAGTCAAAGGGTTAAGTACTGGGACGGTGACTCAGGCAGGGACTCGGGATTCCAGGGAAGTCTCCTAGCCTGGGATGGGATGGAATGAGGGTAGGGGCTGAGCTGAGTCTTTTTAAAGGAGCAAGAGTCAGTCTGGTGACATGCAGGGGACATGGCACTTCAGACAGAGGGGAGAGCATAAGTAAAAAGAGTAAAAACAGAGGAGAGGACAGCACCGTGATGGCGAACCTTTTGAGCTCGGCGTGTCAGCATTTTGAAAAACCCTAACTTAACTCTGGTGCCGTGTCACATATAGAAATTTTTTGATATTTGCAACCATAGTAAAACAAAGACTTATATTTTTGATATTTATTTTATATATTTAAATGCCATTTAACAAAAATCAACCAAAAAAATGAGTTCGCATGTCACCTCTGACACGCATGTCATAGGTTCACCATCACTGACCTACACTAAGCAGAAGACCAGGAAAACCTAATCCAATCATGAACTGCTGGAGACTCAGAGTGGACAAGTTTGAGAGAGAACCTCCAGGGGGCGCCAGCCTTAGGAGGGAAAAAAAATCTCATAGTTTCAGCAGGAGGGGGGAAGTAGCTATTTAAAAATGTGCCCAGTATCTTTTGTCCTCAACAGAAATTTTTCCCAGAGCCTAACTGACTGGAACAAGGGAAATAACTACCCAACTCCAGTATCCTCTAACCTTACCAACAACTGAGTAGTTGTAAAGGTCACAGGCTCACAAAAGACTGAGAACTAGTCATAGGCTCTAGAGCAGCGGTTCTCAACCTGTGGGTCGCGACCCCTTTGACGGTCGAACGACCCTTTCACAGGGATCGCCTAAGACCATCCTGCATAGATATTTACTACATTGCGATTCATAACAGTAGCAACATTACAGTTACGAAGTAGCAACGAAAATAATTTTATGGTTGGGTCACAACATGAGGAACTGTATTTAAAGGGCCAGAAGGTTGAGAACCACTGCTATAGAGCATCTCTTCCCCCACCCAGCTTCTCCCTTCCCCTCACCACCACATCAGCAGGGCTTCTGTACAGCAACAAGGTAATACAACTGAAAAACATGCATCTCAGGTCACACTTGTTAATTCTCTGGGAAAACAAAGACCAAGGACACCAGAGGAAACTTGAGCTTTAGTAAACAGAACACAGCCAAACATAAAACCTCGCACTAACGTATCTCAATCCTTTTTACCTAGTACATTATGTCCCACTTGCAACAAAAAATTACAAGGCAAACTAAAAGACAAGGCATTTTGAAGAGACAGAGCAAGCACAGCTATGCAGACATCAGAATTATCAGACGAAATTCGAAACAACTGATTAATATGCTAGGGACTCTGGTTAAGAAATAAAAAGGACACATGCAAGAACAGGTGGGTAATAAATGCAGAGAGATGGAAACTCAAGAGTCAAAGGAAATTACAGAAATCAAAAACGCCCCAACAGAAACTTCCCAGACTGAAATCTAAAGAGAGGAAAAAGGCTGCCAGGCACTGTGGGACAACAGCAAAAAGCATAACATGCGAGATAAGAATACTGGAAGGAGAAGAAAAGGCACAGAAGAAATATTTGAACACCAAGCCAGATAAATACAAAAATATTCATATAAGCATATTATATCCAAACACACAGGAAAAAAGTACTGAAAAAATCCAGAGGAAAAATATCAGAGTAAGGATAAGAACCTCCGATGTCTCAGAAACCAGCAAGCAAGGATAGTGGACAATTTAAAGTGTTAAGAAAAAAAACACACCAATTGAGTTCTACACTCTGAAATATGTTCTCAGACAAAAATTGAGGGATTAGATCTGCAAGAAATGTTAGAAGTTCTTTAGAGAAAAAGGAAAATTATATATATGTTCTAAAACATGGATCTACATGAAGAAAGGAAGAATATTAAATGAAGGAAAAAATAAAAACTTTTATTACTCTTAATTGATTTCATGATTATAGCTTATGGATAGTTAAAATGAATGACAACTATTATAAAGGATGGGAGGGGAAGTGGGAATCCTGTGTTATAAGGTACCTGTACTACCTGTGGTGGTGGTACAGTGTTACATGATTCTTTTAATTGTAAACCTATATTGCTAACTCAAGGATAGCCACTAAAAATACAGTTTTAAAAAGTAAATAATTGAGCCCTAGCTGGTTTGGTCCAGTGGGTAGACTAGACTCACCCTGCGGACTGAAGGGTCCCTGGTTTGATTCCAGTCAAAAGCACATGCCTGGGCTGTGGGCTCAATTCCCATGAGGCAGCTGATCAATGGTTCTCGTCATTGATGTTTCTTCCTCTCAATAAAAATATATAGCCCTAACTGGTTGGCTCAGTGTATAGAGCGTTGGCCTGCGGACTGAAGGGTCCCGGGTTTGATTCCGGTCAAGGGCATGTACCTTGGTTGCGGGCATCCCCAGTAGGGGGTGTGCAGGAGGCAGCTGATCAATGTCTCTCTCTCATCGATGTTTCTAACTCTCTATTCCTCTCCCTATCTGTAAAAAAAATCAGTAAAATATATATATTTTTTTTTTCCTAAAAAGTATAATTGAAATTCTAAGAGGAGGGGAAAAATGGAATCATACAAAATACTTAAAGCCTGAGGAGGCAGAAAAAAAAAGAAAAAAAGAATGAAAGACAAAAAAAAGAACAAGGACAAAAAAATAGAAAACAGTAGCAATTATGATAGCTACCAATCCAACTATATCAATAATCACTTTAAGCATCAATACAGTGGGGCCTTGACTTAGGAGTTTAATTCGTTCTGTGACGGAGCTCGTAACTCAAATTACTCGTATGTCAAATCAAAAAGTGAACCAGTGAGACACGTGATGCTGGGCTGATGTTGTGGTGTTCACTGTGACGTTCGCTGCGCCAACTAGCGGTGGAGTATCTGAAGCTGGCTCGTAACCCGAATTTTAGCTTGCAACTCAAAGCAAAAAATCGGCAGAGAGACGGCTCGTATCTCGAAAAACTCGTTAGTCGGGACACTTGTAAGTCAAGGCCCCACTGTAGTTTAAATACATCAATGAAAAGACATATCAGAGTGGACCAAAAAACAAAACTCAACTCCATGTGGTCTACAAGAAACGTACGTAGTTGCATGTGGAAAGGGCTTTGTGAGCAAGCGAAGCACCCTTACCTGCCCCTGCCATTCAGCTGTGTGAAATGGTGAGGCCGCTCTGGATGTTCCAAGAAGGCAAAGTTGGAACCGCAGGGCCCTGAGGCCTGCTGCTTTGCCAGCCCCTTTGAGCTGGCAGGAATGTCAAAACACAGTTCTTCTCCACCTCTAGGCTTCTAAGGAATTTTCTCAGCCTGGTAGCTCTTGGGGAAGCTGGCCCGTCAAGGTGACACTAGCTTAAAATTGCCTCTGCATTAAGGTTATGAGTTAGTTGTTGGCTAAGGTTTAACAGAAACACCATGATTTTTCCGTGTTTGAATAGGTTGGTATGTTGAATACTTGGAGTGAAATCTCCCAAAGAGGAACAGCTGATAGGAATAATTCACATGTAAATAATTCCAGGGAATTCATATTCACGCCAGCATTTTTTAAGGCTGGTTGATGTGGAGAAACGATAGAACTCCATTTCTGAGCTTCCAATAACACAAGCTCAGGCCCTGTATAAAAAGACTCCCTTCAGAAAAGGACCGGTCTAAAACACAACAGGCACGACGGAGTTCCTCTGTCCTCTAACAGCATTGGGAAGGGATGGTACGGTGTTTGCAGGCACAATGCAGTTAAGGTGTCTGGTTCCAAGCTTTCCATTGTTTGAATCAGGCCACATGACCTTACAGAATTTCTTCGGAGCCC